GGATTTCATCCCGAAGAGGAAATTCATAGTCGTATGGAAGAAATGCATCCTTTAAGGTACGTTTTGCTTGGAGCGACGACTATTGCGATGATCGCAGAGCGATAATCTCGGGGCGATAATCGTGGAGTCCTGCTTGTATGTTTCGTGAATTGTTCCGTTTTCCTTGGAGCGACCATCGCTAGAGTTGCTAGCGTCAATCGCGCGCGTCTGGTCCTAGAGCAGATATAATCGCCAATCGCGAACGATTATTGATAGATGTTTTTTCGTGTTTTTTGTCGTCACCACACAAGTGATTTGTGAACAAAAGCTTAAGGTACCCTTCATCCATCCTACTTTTGGAGATGGGAAGTTAATGTTTGGGAAGTCTTGGTAAACCCAATATTTCTAGCATGTCTTCATCATCAATTTCTTCCAAAAAAAGATGTTTTGATGTTTTACTTTTCTTATTAATCCTTTTTGTTACATTCATTGCGCACAGATATTGGACTGGGTGTAGTGGTCTGTTTGCCAAAACACCGTCCCTTATGTGCCTATCCACAAGTTTTTCCAGTGTCTTAAGCTCAAATGATGAAAGTCTAGTGGGTCTTAGGAACTTCGCCGTGTCATCTATTTTTCCAGGTTTTGGTATGAACGATACCCTAATAATGCGCCTCCAGGCCTTTAGGCTACTTCTTAGAATGTTACATAGTATCCTGTTTGCAACTTCAGTTCCGTTCGGTAACATTAGGAGATAGATCCTTTCTGTCCCTGTTGACTTATATGGGTCAAAGGTATTTATAGTCCATTTGACTATTTCATGGTTGACGACGTCAGCCAGTCGTTCCTGGCTACTCTTCGAAGTCTAGGCTTATTTCATATCCACTAAGTCTGATCAACAATCTTTGAGCCAGGAAAGTGAATTTTTAGGTGTTCCCTAGCCGTCGCTCCAAGGTTGTTCTTGAATGATTTGATTGTTGTCTTCGGGCCCCTTGACAGAATTCTTTGTAGTCTAGCACAATCTTGAGTACTTTCTATATCCTCCCAGTACTTCCTCCAAGACCTCCTCTGGGATCCCTTCAGCTCTTTCATGAACTTTTTCATCGTGGTTCTGTATGTCTCCCACTGCCTGGTTCTCATGGCTTTATTGAATTCTGTTCAAGCCTTTTTCTCATCTCAGGGAGCTCCCCGAGAGAACAAATTTTTCGTCTTCATCATTTTCGTTTACTTCTCGATTACCATTGACAAGGACAAAACATTCGCTCTATCGGGAAGCTCTACTCCCTGAGACGAAAATCGGGCTCCAGGGCACTTTCCTGGTGGATGTACCTGTTGTAAGCGGACAATTTCCATTGAAGACTGACATGATTGCATCATTGAATTGATCCACAACCATCTTCAAGTCTTCAGTGTCTCTTATTGTCTTCCTGATGTTTGGCAGACTATAATCCAGGTCAGCTTTATATGCGTCCTAGTCTGTATTTCGAGGATTCCGATAATTTGCCGAAATTGTTTCCCCTGAAATTTCAAATTTGATGTATCTTCTAATCCTTTTTGTTACATTCATTGCGACACTCAATATATGTACAAGAAGAATTGAGAGCCTACTAACAGACATTTTAGCCAAAGAATATTTTTCAGGAGAAAGTTGGCAGAATACTGAATATAGTCGCTGTCAAGCAAAACGCTCAAGCTAGTGACCATAGCAAGCAATTATCGCCCTGCGATTATCTCTCTGCGATCATCTCGCTCCAAGCAAAACGTACCTAAGTGGGAAATAAGATCATTTCAAGATTGAAAATTGCAAGTTCGAAACCAAAGCAGAGCATCTTTAGTGAAAAGGTCAGGAGCTGAACGAAGTAGTTACTCCTTAGAAAAGCCTCTAGAAACTCTCATTTCCTCCACCCTTTCCAGGAAATTCTACCATGACCATCAAATTTTAAATTTAAGCGGCCAATATCCTTGAAAACAGCAAAAGTCGACTCATACGAATATGATGGATAATGTGAACCGCGTAGTGGAGAAAACTGTAAATCATCTAACCTCCTAGCCATATCAGCCATAGGGCTGGTTTCATTATGCGTCGAATTAGCAATCTGATGTAACGAGCGCAAGTTATCGGGCTCGGCAAAACGAATAGAACTTTGGTGAGGTAACGCAGGATCAAAATTAGGGAGGGGTCTCAACTGGCATGGAAAAGTTGCCAAAGGAGCATCAATAAGAGAGCACGAAGGATGAACCGTATTGGTATTATTTTGTGGCGGGACTGATTCACGCCACGTAGAGTGGGTAGGAGGGCGATGAGCAGGTGAAGCTTCCTGCCGAGACAAACCAATAACGTTTGAACGAGGGTCAAGAAACTGACTACGATTCAAGAGAGATAATTGGTGCTGGAACAATTCTTCGACCATCGGATGCTTGTTGTCTTTCTGAATGTTCTGACAATGGACGGTTGCGACCAGACTCGTAATGTTTGGATGTTGATGAGGATGGATCATCGTTCAAGGCAATTAAATCATTAGAAACGTGAGGCCGATCCGAAGAAGTGGTTTGGTGAATATCCACTTCCTGTTCTACCGATTGGGTCTCATCAATGGACTGAAGCCTTTGGCATAGCGTGTTATGTCGTTCGATTAAATTGTTTTGAAGAACTTGATCTGGTTAATCAACAAGATGTATACGAGATAGCCGTTTTCAAATGTGCTCCAAAATAGTATAAATTTTGCGAAGTTCGACCTCCCGATTATCGTGATTGAATCCCAAAATATCCCGTTCGACTGAATAAAGCTTGGCACCACACAACCACAACTCATTAACGGTCTCGAATGGTGAAGATGATGGTGGATTCACTCAACCTTCACGTTCAAGTTTCAATGAAGCTCTAAGGTCTGCTCTACGTTGGACAAAAGTTGTTGTTATAGGTAACCCTCGAATAGTCAATTTATATTTCAATTCCTCGTTTCCTAGACAGTTGACATCCATTTTGCTTCAAGGATTTTCCATAACTAAACTTCGATTCGAGAAAACAAAAAACAATAAAAAAAAAATCTCACCCTGTCCACAAATGTGACTTGTGCTTACCCAGGTCGCAAACGCGATTAAATAGGAAATAAAATAACTATATCTATGTAACTAGTATCATTGAACATCAAACCCCAACCCTTAAATATTCAACAAAACCATCCACCATAATTCTTTATGCCAGCAACGTATTGAACATTATGCTATGCAATTCTAATTCAAACCCATTGGGCGCAAATTTGTAATCAGACGTACACCAGAAATAATAAATAAATTGATTCAACCAATAAAATAATAGTTAAAGTGATGTTATATAGAAAGGTGAACTATGTAGGTGGGTGGCAGACCAAATATCGAGAAACAGGTAACTCCGTTTTTAGGGCGGCCGACTAGCTCTCACAACGGAGAGGGGTGTAATACCTACTTATAAAAAAACTAACGGGGATTAAATAAAACCCCTGAAAAGCACTCCATATTGAACTCTATTACCATTATTCATATAGAAATCAAAATCAACGATATTAACAACATTTCATGAACAGGTATGGCTTTACAAATACTCAATAGTCTCTGAACGAGCACACAAAATACTTTCAATAATAGTCGCTGCTGGCACAAATCAGCAGATGAGGATTTTTGTAAATAAATAAACCCAAAGAAAAAGGTACTAGATACCTACCCACTCTATTGAAAATAGTGACAACAGTCTTATTAGGTAAACCAAACCTTAAATTCTTAGGTGTGGAGAATGAAGTTACAATGTTACTTAATTTGCTCCCTTGAATCAATAACAATATACTCAAAATACCATCGTAAATAGATCTATTTAAACCTGGTGTACAGAACCAATATTTGAAAAATGTGTGTGTACTTTATACTCCAATGCTGTAATTAGAATAAAATATTAGGTAAACTTAAAATTATCTAATATTTAAAACTGAAAGGTGATTGATGAAGTAACTTTTAAATCAGGTAGTAGGCACTTCAGTAGAAGATTCTACTTCAAAATTACAAGTAGGTAAAGTTTGGAGGCTCCAGCTCTTGAGGAGATGACGGTAGCCCTTAATACAGTAGGGGTGGATGGTTCCCGAAACGACACAACATTACTCAAACCTCAATATGTATATTTATGTCCGATCGAGTAGTGCTAGGGACCTCTAAACCAAAGGCCCAAAAGCATCACAATCTACTAGGTCCAGGACTTGACAGCAGCAAATCAGTTATCTTTGTGCATTCAGCGTCAGCAACAAAATGTATGATATCCTTATAAATTATGCAACAGATTGAGTGCTAATTCAAAGCTCTGTTCTCCATATTGCTTGTTGTATGTAATGTTCCTCCAAAATTGTTTAAATTTTTAATGTGAAATGGTAGCGCTCCAAAGAACACGCTATTACAAACCCTGTCGGATAAGATTTTTTCCTTTTTGCTTAAAGATGGCATATGCAAGCAAGCGAATTTTCAGTGCACATAGTTTTCGGTCCTGCGGGGCATTTTCCGCAATCACTTTGAGTATACGCCGAGGTCCCCCCCTAATGGCTTCATCTTCCGGTCCGATTTACCTGAGCCGTGTGACGCAATTTTCCATAGTTCTGGCTTAGGGCGATAAAGGAGTCTTATCGTTCGGGGACACCGGTTTGGTCGGATCAAGCCGACGAAAATCGGATAGAGAGCCGCGGTGAAGTATCGTAGATGAAAATGTTCAAAGCTTAACTAGAAAATTGTTTGTTTACTCGGTGAATTTTTTACTATTATACAGAAAAATAAAATTAATAAACGTCGGAAAAGCAAAAGTATATAATTTTTTTGGTCCCGGAATACGTACATAAAAGCCAGTGCTCTAATAATATCGTCTCTGCAAATATGTATAAAGGAAAAATAGCTTTTGGCATGGTCTTTGTTTACCTTTGACTTATTTGGTCAGTCCTCCGGGCAATACCGGGATTAGTTGTATTAAATAAAGTATTTTTATAATATTTAATGAAAAAATAAGGATTACTCACCCCTCTTTGGATTGGTTTTTTCGAACTCTGATGATGTAAAGGTTGTGGTTGGCTGTCACTAGTTACAGCAGAGTCAGGCAATTTTCTGTAAAGAAGCTTGTATTCTTCGATTGGGCTTAGAGATTCTACTTCCCAGCTTATGTTATAGTTCTCTCTTGATTTTCCAGTGGTAGGACTGTTGAACTTCACTGGGCGGGGTTTTCCTAAAAAAAATAAAACATAAAAGTTGAATGAAACTGAAAAAAGGAAAACAATCGGTAGAACATCTACCGATTGATTTCCTTTTTTCATTAAATATATCTACTTGTGATCGGGACTCTCATTTATCAAATTAAATCTTGCAGAGGAATTAATATTAAGCAATACCAGCGCATAGTAGATATGTTTTTGTCACCTGAAAACACGCTTGAATAATTTAATTCCATTCCGGCCCAAAGTAAATTTATAGTTACGAAACTGCGAAACTGGATTCGATTGTTTTCGCTGGGACGTAGTTTTCGGAAAGTTATTTGGAAACTATATTCGGGTCGGAAACGGATAATAATGGCAGATCGTTAGGTTAATTGTTGTTTTTTTTTTTTTGGTTGTTGTTACGGACTGGAGAGAAATTCGAATGAACCTAATTAGAGACATAATTAATGATGATCCAAAACTTACCAGTCAACTGTATGCTCTTCCTAGTTTTACCGAGCTGGTTGTCTGCTACACATGTGTAATTTCCGAAATCTTGCTTATTCACTTTTCTAATTACAAGCGTATGCCTTGACCCCCTAGATTCCATCAGTTTTAGCTCGGTCGTATCCAGTTGCATTGTATCTCTGTACCACAAAACCTGTAAAAATACATTCAAAACTGAACATCGTAACCACAGGTTTCAGTCAATTTGATTTATATTAACAAAGAAGAATATTTATGTGAAGCCCGCTTCAGCTTCTGTTTTATTTAGCACGAAATCCAATTAACCTTCCATCTCGATTTAGCAGCTGAGAGAGGCCCAGAGATTCCGAAATATTCTCTTTTTGGCTATTATGCATGCCAGGAGAAGTTCTAAACCAACTCCCAACTCCCGTTTGCCGTAAGTAACACTTTTCGTCGGAGATTCAGCCCTGAACTGAAGCAGTTTTGATTTACCTAATTAAATTTAAATCGCGACGGGAATAAATGCATCTGCCAGGAAACACGGATGCCGGAAATAACAGTAATAGTGAGCTAAAGGTATTATGTTGATACTAGTTTTGTTTAAATTTTAGTTAATGGCATGATGGATGCAGTTGCTGAAACTTCTATTTTGTATGAGGGTTTAACTTACCCGACTCAAGTAAAAATGTTCTGCCTTTGCTCTGTAATTTTGTAAAACATGCTGGTTTGTACAACTTACAACATCAATTTATTTTTTACTTGACAGTACATTAGATTATTTTGTGGATGAGTTTTGATATCAAAATTATTAGGCATACAATTTTAGCAACAGAAGCGTACAAATACAAAAACTAATTAAGCTTTTGTCGAAATAACATCAAAAAGGAAGAAGAGGAAAGAGCAGTCCAAGCATTTATCGTGTGGCTTTAGTTAATTGGCTTCTTTGTTCCTCTACTTTGGCTTTAAACGGAAAACGGACGATTGGTAAATATTAATCAAAACCGTACCTTTCTTTTTGAATTCAAAACTTTTAACCGGAAAGAGTTGTTTTTTTTTTTTAGGAATGTTAATTAAGATGTCTGCGGCTGAAATTTTAAATAAAAATGTCAACAGTTGAATAAGTATTCGTTGACTTGTAATTTTTGTTTTATATTTCTTTGGTATTATATTTATTTATTTGTCAAAATCTCATTTAGGGCCGGTATTATAATGTTCGGTCGACCGAAGGTTGAGTTTCAACCTTTCGTCAATATAATACCGGCCCTCAATACAATGTGTAAAAAGGGTAAGCGTAAAATTTGGGATATATCGTAAGGTGTTTAAAAACTATAGCATCCATGCTACATCAAGTTCAACGCCGTGATAAATTGTAAATTTTTGCAACCATCATAATTTGTTTTGATTAGTGCAAGCAACAAAAAATACAATTTTGTCTCTCTTTTCCATATAGCTTCGTTTACGCAAACCATTATGAACCGTTTTTCTTCAAGTCCCCAAGATTTTTCATAAACTAAAAGATATCGGTTTCTCGTATCGATATCTCAGAAACTTTTCGGCTGTTTACTTATCAATTAGCGAGACAAATTAATTTTGAGGTATCGTACCATTTTCAACCAGAAAAAAAATAAATAATCATAAGTGAAGCGAATGTATGTCTAATAAGTAAAACAAAAAACATTCATACACATTGTTCAATATAGTATTTTACATTATTAGCCAGGTAAAACAGTTTTTACTGGCGATTGAAGGAAATGACTAGCGAGCCGCCAGGCGAGCTTGTCACCTTCAAGAGCCAGTGAAAACTGCTACCTGGCGTATAATGTACAATAATTTATTTGTTACTCATTTGTAAAAGATATAGGGACAAATAAAAAATCAATACATAACAAAAATTTGAAATTTATATGTTTTTCCTTGATTTTTTCTCACAGAAGTTTTGGTAGTTGGTATAACTATGAGAATGATACGTTGTTAAGACGTTGTTTCTAGTTATAAATAGGTTTTTTGACAGATTTCCATTTTGCAATTTTTTTTCCAGAAATGAATTTATTACAAGATATTATTAATGAAGCCTCAGTCGTAGCCAACAGTTTATCACCAGAAAAGTCTCCCAGAAGGTACCTACAAGCAATTATTCTTGTGATAAAACCGATTTTTCAAAAATAAATAATTCTACTGACTTGTAAAAAGTTTTTATTTTCAACCACATATGTAATGTTGACATTGCAGGTTTTTCAAAATCTTGAAAGTGTCACATTTCTGGACTTTGACATTTATCGGGACGGTAATGCATATGCCTGCCTAGGACGGAAAAGCATTTTCCGTCCGGGACGGCAAATGCTTTTCCGTCCCCATTTCCCTGCTCGTTCCAAATTGATAATTTTCATACAGCTCTCACATATAATAATAAAACCACATGTATTACATGGAACTAATTAAATCTATTCACTTATTTACATTAATTGTTAAATTAGCATTGTTGTTTATAATGGAAATCTTGAGACCATCCTGTTGGAATTGTGTTTCGTTTGGAACTATTATCTCTTGCGCTTGCGGATGAGTTTCCGCATGTGATGTACTTGTGGATGCACTGGACAACTGAATACCTTTGGAAGTAGAGGATAGCATCAGAGCAGTCTTACTTTTGTTCTCCAAAGATGCCTCTATGTAGCCTTCAGCAACCGTGCTCGATTTCCACCCTCCCAGTCTTTTGAGTTGCAATAGATCGGCCCCGTTGTCAACCAATAAGGTTGCGGAAGTACGACGAAAAGCATGCCCTGTAAAAGTTTCAATTTTTGGAAGCTTCAAAAAAGCAGCTATTTTATGTGGAAATTTTGAGATTGAATGATAGCCAATTGCTTGGTTATGTAATTTCCCATTTCGCCATTGAACAAATAACCTGTCATTTTTCAAATTTTTCCGCAAAGTGAGGTATTTGTGGAAAATAGCAACCCAATCTGGATCGCTTATGATAAACGATCGACTTGTGTAAGTTTTTGTGTGTGGAATTTCTATAGCGATCTTTCCTTCCAAAACGTTGACGTGCTCCATTTTCATCTTGACTAGTTCATCGCTCCTACATGCACCCGACACACCAACAATTAGCGCTACCTGAAACCAGATAAAAATAAAATGGGTAACCTAGCTATAGCATACAGAAAATCATTTTGATTTTCGCATTTTTATCTTCTTTGTATATTTTTTGAAAACCTACCTTGATGCTAATGAATTCTTCAGCTGCCTTCGTGAGGAACTCGTTAATGTTTTCTCTGGAAAAAACGCTCGACTTTTTTGGCTGAAAGCCCAGATTTTGCCGCTTCAAAAAAGCTATAAGTTTTGCGTAATTGGAGATATCAACTTTCTCTTTCAATTTAATCATGGTTTTCAACATACTGTAAGTCGACCATAAAGTCGAAGGCTTCTTTTCCTTAGATAATTCGCCAAAATACGCCAACAAAACGGTCTCCGAGGCAGTATTTCTCGTTCCTTTCTGGCTACACCATGCTTCGAATATTTGAAAAGCCTTTTCGTACCGAAATTTGCTTTTTGCTGGAAGCAAACTCTCTCCAATCCTGTCTGCTGCTTCTTTTAATTCAGGTGGGGTACAATCCATCGCTTCATCTTCACTTTCCGAAATCATTTCTTTGGGGAGAACGGGGAGAAATCTAGTGAAAATCTATTATTTCCGCAAAAATACTGAGCGAAAACTACCGTCGTTAAGGCGTTGTTGATCTTATCTATGGTTGTTGATTTTGCGGTTTCCTGTGGTTTCGTCTTTTGTTTTGGCCTTTACAGGGCCTTTGAGATCGTCAAAATTGATGACATTGACAAAAAAAGTGAAATATTTTTTTCTAAGGCCAGTTTTACACTATATGAAAATTTCGTATAACAGAATCTTTAGTTTTTGCATCAGAAAATTAAGGGTTGAAAATAAAAAAGTATACAAACCTCGACGGAAAACTTCATTTCTGTCTCGAGGTTGAGTTTATCTCGACGCTTCGCGTCTCGATAAACTATAATAACCTCTCGACCAGCAATGAAGTATTTTCCGTCTCGGATTGTAATATACTATTACAGTTTAGCTGTCAATTTTACAAGTCAGTAGAGCCAGTAGCTTGTAAAAATCAATTTTCGCTGGTTATGTTTTGACTTGATAAGTGACGTTTTACAAATGAGTGACAAATAATAGTATTTTACATTATTAGCCAGGTAAAACAGTTTTTACTGGCGATTGAAGGAATTGACTAGCGAGCCGTCAGGCGAGCTTGTCACCTTCAAGAGCCAGTAAAAACTGCTACCTGGCGTATAATGTACAATAGTTTATTTGTTACTCATTTGTAAAAAATATGGGGAAAAATAAAAAATTGATACATAAAATTAGAAAAAAAAGAATTTTTTTTTTTTTTTTTGATTTTTTGTCATACAAGCCTAGTACCTATAGCTATAAGAACGAGATGTTGTTAAGTGGTTGTTTTTAGTTATAATCCGGTTTTCTGGAAGATTTGCATTTTGCAATTTTTTTCCAGAAATGAATGTGTCAGAAGATATTATTAATGAAACTACAGTCGTAGCTAACAGTTTATCACCAGATAAGGATTCCAGAAGGTACCTACATACAATTATTCTTGTGAAAAAACTGATTTTTTAAAAATAAATAATTCTACTGACTTGTAAAAAGTTTTTACAGTTTAGCTGTCAATTTTACAAGTCAGTAGAGCCAGTGCCTTGTAAAAATGAATTTTCGTTGTTTATGTTTTGACTTGATAAGTGACGTTTTACAAATGAGTGACAAATAAAATATTTTACGTTCCTATCCACCATGAAGTTTAGAGAATTTTTGTAGTCAATTTCCGGATTGATTTAATATATGTCCAAATTTAAAAGCTGCAGTTCACCTGATGGCTTCTAAAACTGTACGTCGCAATGACAAATTGTAGTTTGTTGTTTTGCCTGCGTTGGATAGAAATTATTGATTCTTCGTCTGCCACAGAATCTGAAGGGCTGTCCGAATTTCCATCGGAGTTGGATTGTGAATTCTGATGAACTCTGCCCGATGGGAGGCACCTGTTTCAAAGTTCAATGTGTGTTCATGTTTGTTTGAAAGCATTTGCCACTCGAAGCGACGTGAATCCTTTCGTGTTGTCGTTAAACTGGCAACTTGATTTGATCCGATTTTTGTTAAAATACGTATCA